CTTCCCCGCAACCCCCTCAGCCTAGCCTTCAACCGCCCAACCCCCTCATATAGCCCTGTCATAGTCGCCGCCAACTGACTTCCTCTTCACCTTTGACGAACATCAGTACCTTTTCTCGCGACTTTTATTTGGATTTTTCTTGTTATTCTCATCCATTCTCTAGCAGACAACGAAAAGTCACATTCCCCTCCCTCTACCTCATTCGCCTACTACATACACAATGATGCTTAAGGCCGTTCTCAGTGTTTTCGCAGTGGCTATTGTCGCCGCTGCCAACGAGTCGCCCGAACATGGTGACGTCAATGTCAATGTGCGGATTGCCGGCATGCCCGCAGCTGTGCGGCAGTCTAGCGGTCTGCCCCTGTTCAACATCCTGCCGCGCTTCTCCACGCCCAGCGTCTCTGCCCGGGCGCGCGTCGATTCCGCTTCTGAGGCCGCAACTGAGGCACCTGCTTCCACTGAGGCACCTGCTACCAACACACCTGCTGCCAATACTCCTGCTGCCGTGGTTCCCGAGACTATGTCGGCGGCGTCGGTGACTGATCCCGCCATGATTGCTCTGTCTGAGATGGCCGAGAATGCCAAGAACTCTGTCGACCTGGCTTCGCGCATCATTGCCAACGGCATTACCGCCAACCACCAGCCAGCGGAGAGCGTGATTCAGGCCAGGATTGGCCAGCTCCAGCCCGCTGCTGAACCCGCTGTGCCCGCCACCTCTGCCACTGTCGCATCGTCGACTGCTGCCCCCGAGACATCGGCCACTGCTGCTGCTACATCGCAGACTGCTGCGTCCGACACAGCGGTCCCCGTATCGTCGGCGCCTGTCCAGAGCCTTCAGGTCTCGCCCAGCCCGATCCTGGCCGAGTCTGCCACTGGAACCCCGCATGCAGCCAACCGTATTGACACGATTGCGTCGTCGTCTAATGCCTCCGATCTATCGGCTTCGGCCACAGCTGTCTCGTCCACGGCTGCTGCTGAGTCCTCTTCAGCTTCTCTGGCAGGCACCTCCGTCTCGGCTGCCCGTGCGGAGTCCGCTTCGGCAGAGTCATCTGCCACTGCTGCTGCTGAGTCGGCGTCCGAGACCGTTGCTTCGACCTCGGCTTGTCCCTGCCGCGATCCTCATCAGGATCTATGGCCCGTGCTGACTCTGTATCTGCCGACTCGTCATCGGCCAGCCTTACGCACTGCTGCCTCGTCTGTGGAGGCCGACTCTTCGTCGGGAGCAGCAGCGGCTACCTCAGGCACCGCTGCCCGCGCTGATACTGTCTCTGCTGACTCGTCGATCGGCCACTGTTGCCTCGTCGGGCGAGTGTCCTCGTCTCGGCTGAGTCATCCTCTGTCTTGGCTGAGTCATCCTCTGTCTCGGCTGCCACTATCTCAGGTCCGGCTGCTCGTGCTGATCCTGTTTCCGCAGACTCGTCCTCTGCCTCAGTTGCCTCGTCGGTGTCCGCCGCCTCTTCGTCAGTCTCGGCTGCTTCCACCTCGGGTGCTGCCTGTGCGTGCTGATACTGACTCAGTTGAGAGCTCTGTGTCGCCGGCTACTTTGGTCAGGTCCAGCTTCGGTATTTCCAGCTCGGCTGCTCCTGTGTCGTCGTCTGCCTCTTGCAGACAGCACTGCGGCTCCTGCCGTGACTTCGGTTGTTGCCGAGTCGAACTCGGCTGCTCCTGGCCGTAGCCTTCAGTTGTTGCCGAGTTCGACCTCAGTGCTGCTCCGGCCGTCGACCTCGGTTGTTGCCGAGTCGAGCTCGGCTGCTCCTGCCGTGACTTCGGGTTGTTGCTCGAGGTCGAGATCGCGTGATGCTCCCCGTCGCCTCGGTTGTTGCTGAGTCGAGCTCGGCTGCTCCGGCGTCAACCTCGGTTGCTGCTCCGGCGTCGACTTCAGTTGTTGCCGAATCGACTTCGGCTGCTGTTCCAGCATCGACCTCTGTTGCTGTTCCAGCATCGACCTCTGTTGCTGCTCCAGCGTCGACCTCTGTTGCTGCTCCGGCTTCTACCTCTGTTGCCGCTCCGATGTCGACTTCGGCTGCTGCCCCGGATTCTACCTTGGCTGCTGCCCCTGCATCGACCTCGATTGCCGCCCCCGCATCGACCTCAGTTGCTGCTCCGGCCACTACTTCGGCTGTTGCTCCTGCTTCAAGCTCGGCCTCGATGATGACTGCTAAGCCCGGAACTCAGATTGCCGAGAACATTGCGGCCACCTCGGTGTCGATTGCGCCGGGTCATCGATCTCGGTCGCTTCGACGATGGTCAGCATTGTGTCTGTGCGTGCGATCACTCTCCTGCCTGATTCTAACATTGCGGGGATCTCCGATCTCTCGATGTCGGTTAACATGGGTATCCAGCAGGCTACTGCTGCCACAACCGGCACCGCTGTCACCGCTGCCACCGCTGTCACTGCTGCTGCTTCCACCTCTGCCTCCGCTGCCACCGCCACTGCTGCCCGTTTCTTCCGTCAGCCCTGCTGATGTTGCCCCGATCACCAACATTGTGCCGGCCACCATCGTGATCGCGCCTGTTGCTGCTGCTGCCGCGCCGCCGCCGCTGTCACCCAGTCACCACTGTCACTGTTGCCACCTCTTCTATCTTGGCTGCTACCTCGTCTGCGTCTCCTGCCAGCCAGTCTGGTGCTGACAACGCCGACAGTACCCCTGCTGCCCAGCCCGAGACGACCGAGGTCCAGCAGGTCGATGACTCTGGCATGGCTCCCGCTCCCGAGGCCGCCAGCGACGGCGAGCAGCAGCAGCAGCAGCAGCAGGAGCCATCCAATGAGCAGTCCCAGCACGACGGCCCAGCCAACAACCAGCGCCGTAACGACCGCCGCGGTCGCCGTCGTCAGGACCGCAACCGCAGCAACGACCGCGCTGGCCGCTCGGGTCCTACTGAGCAGATGCGCGTTGCTGTCGTCGACAACCAGTTCCAGCCGCTCATGATGACCGAGGCGCTGGCTGCCCGCTCGAGTACCACGGCTCGTCGGCGTGCCTCGAGGATAGCGCCAAGAACCAGTACCGGAGTGCGTGTGGGCAAGGTGATCCGTGTCACATGCCCCTCGGCGCTACCTGCCAAGCCACCCCGGGCGTCGCCAGGGCCACTACGTGCGAGGCATAAGCAGCATGGCCCACCATAGCACCTGCCTACGCCCTGCTGCAGAACAGGCTCTTTCGTGAGCTGCTCTGCATCTTCGTCTGCAAAACCCCCCCATCTCCTCCGTTTTCCCGTGCAAGCCATCTCCCTTCTCTCCTCCACCATGGCTGCAAGTCTCTACATCTGTCCTCTATTCCTGGGTGGCCCTGTTGTCCCCAGCGTTCTTCCTTCCTCCATCAGCCGCCTCACAAGCTACACTTTCCCGTGCTTTCTTGCTCATACCAGCATTTTCTATATAAATCACATGACCATTACTGTGGGGTTTGCTGATGTCTTGGCTCCATGTCTTCGCGGTACTTGGCGAGCATCACTCTGCTGCCATTGTATTTTCCCGCACCCGACTTCTGGCTTGGTAATCTTGGCCAGTTCTTGACCTAGCACTGTGCAACAAATAAGAGTCCGGGTGTGGCTAGAGAACGCAGCTAAAAAGGAACACCAGGGCCTGCGCTATTGCTCTCTTGCCCAATATTTCCATCGCTCTGCTCTCTTCTTTCCACTCTCGCTGTCCGTTACGCCTCATAATACTGCTATTTTTCTACTCTAATATGCCCTCTCTCTTGGCCTCCGTGCCGACCAGCTCACTGTTCTGGTGGGCCACACCCAAGAACCTGACTGCCGGCCTGGTCGCCTATCTTTCGTACGAGATAATCTACGCCTTGTACTTTTCGCCGCTGCGCAACGTGCCCGGTTCTTTCTGGGCGCGCATTAGCAAAATTCGGACGCTCATTAGTGACATTAAGGGCGACGAGCCCGAGTACATCATTGCGAACCAGGAAAAGTACGGCAGCGTGTTTATGCTGGAGCCATACAAAGTGGCCATATGCGACCCGAGCGATTGCCGACTTGTGCTGAGCACGCACGCGTTCAGGAAGGACAGGCAGTACGGCAACATTGAGTTTTTGGAGCCCAACATGTTCCTAACCGTCGACCCAGAGCTCAACAAGCAGCGGCGGCGGCAAATCGGCCCAGCGCTGGAATGGCGAGTCTGCGCAGGATGGAGCCCAAGATTCTGGCTGCCGGCGTTGTAACGTTGGTTGACAAGTGGGGAGCCCTGGCGGATGCGGCAGAGAATGGCGAGGCAAAGGTCAGCTACTTTTACGACTTCTCGATGATGACGTTCGATGTCATTGGCACGCTGGGCTTTGGCAAGATGCACCGGCCGGTGCTGACCTCTGACGACCGGCGCATTGTGCGCTGGGTTAACCGCGCCTTTACGCTGATGTTCATGGAGGCCATCCTCCCTTTCCTCAAGCATTCGCCTTTCAACCGCATCTTGCGGCCGCTGTACCAAGACGCAAGCGATTTCATTACCTTTGGCAATGCAGCAATCAAGCAGCGCAAACAGGAGCTGGAGCAGATCGATGAGGCCCACAGCGATGAGAAGCCAGCAGATATTCTGCAGAGCCTGATTGACGCCGAGGATCCAGAGTCCAAGGTTCGTATGACTTCCGGACAAGTCACCTCAGAAAACATCATTACGCTGATGGCTGGTACGGACACAACAAGCAATACACTGTCTTGGGGTATACACTTGCTTCTGCTACACCAAAGTACCACCGGCGCGCTGTCGAGGAGGTGCGTAGCCAGTTCACGCCAGACCATGTAATCACGTTCGACGAGGCCAAAGCGAGGCTGCCGTATTTGGAGGCATGTGTTATGAGACTCTGCGCCTGCGTCCGGTATCAGGGAACTTGCCTAGAATCATCCCGCGCGGCGGCGTCGTGATCCAGGGGTACTTCATCCCGAGGGATACTCGTGCTCGGTATGTCTGGCCGGCGCCAACATGAACCCTGATACTTGGAAGCGCCCGCACGTCTTCTACCCCGGTCGGTTTGTTGACTGCGACTATAACAAGCACCAGGTGCTGACCTTCAGCGCTGGTGTGCGAGTGTGCCCCGGAAGAAACCTGGCAATGGTTGAAATCATGACGACCCTGGCCAATGTGCTGAACCGCTTTGACCTGAGGCTGCCTGAGGACTCGCTGTTCAAGCCTGATATCCGCGACCAGCATGGGCTTCCTATCATCATGCCGCGCAATAACGCAGTAACCTCTGCTCCGATGTTCCCAGACCGCGACTGTAATGTCGTTATCAGCCGGCGCAAGTAATCATTATGCCTTGTACATGCGTATTTCTTTCTTACATTCCAATATTTAACGCACACCTCTGGCCTGCTTTTCTGCTCTGCTCTGGCTCGACATGTGCGGAAATTGACCCAAAAATAGACACGGTATATGCCTGGATGAGAGCTTATTTAAATACGGGTGAGCAAGGGGCTAAGCCACCTGAATGGGGTAGGCCAGGCGTAGCAAAATTAGAAAAGCCCGGCGAGCCCATCACCGCTGCGATTGCTGCTGCCACCGCCAAGGGAACAGCCAATCCTGGCTGCAAATCGACTGCGCCGTTTGGCTCAGTGGTCGAGCTGGGCTCTTTCTCGGAGCTTTCGAGTGTGCTGGTCGGCGAGGGAGTGCTTGTAGGCTTATGTGTCGATGTCGGTGTTGGCGTCAGTGTCGGCGTCTGAGAACCAGCCAGCGCCTGGGCACGGCTCAGGTACCCAGCCGGCACGTCGGCACAAAGGCCGCCGTAGGGCAGTGGTGCCATACAGCCTAACAGCCTTTTCGTAGTCGCCCGGCTTGCCCAAGTACTTTGCGTCATTGATATTCATGTTGACTTGGTAGAAGATGCTCGCCCATGAGACAGACGCTGCCGACACGTACGACTTTGTATTGGTGATCTTTGGCGCATCCTTGATGAGGTCCTCGCCATAAACAGCACTAGCCAGAATAGCCAGCGGGAGTGTGAGTATCAGACGCATTATGCTATGTATTTAAGGTAATGTAGTGTTTGGAGGGTAG